AGAAAGAAAGAAAGAAAGAAAGAAAGAAAGAAAGAAAGAAAGAAAGAGAAAGAAAGAAAGAAAGAAAACGAACGTTTGATAGTATGACTTCTCATATAAGAACTCTGCCACATAGGCCTTCTGAGTTTGTTCTCCTTTTCATGAATTGCAAGTAAAACTGGAAAACACTTCAGGCCTGTTGATATTTTGATTTGGCTTACAAACACAGTAGCAGAGGTTTGTCTCAAGTGGAACCATAAGTGTCCCCAAGGACTAGAATTCAGTGTCAGTTATGCTGCGGTCTCAGTCCAATGCTCCTTTGCATGTTCAGAATACATAAACCGCTCACCTGCTTAGGCAGCTGTGAGTTCTTTTGATCAAAACACAACTTATCCTCTACTTTATGCAACAGACTATGTCTCCAGATTTGGATACCGTGCAAAAGTTTCATCCCCCCCCCCACCCATGATTTAATGAAATAAGCAAATGGAGTTTGAGCGTGTGAAGTTACGATTCGTTAGCAGATGTAGTCCAGGAAACCCTTGTCTCTTGTAATATTCAAATGATATGTTTTCTGGAGTTCCAAAGATGAGCAGTAATGAACAAATAAATAAGGGTTTATTTTTAGGATTCGGTATTTGAAGCATTGTAATGGAAGTTGCTTTCTGAAGCCAGTGTGTAAACAGCCCTGTTTTCTCATCTTCTTTCCTTCCAGATAATCTATTTCAGGCAAGGGCACGAAGCTTACGTGCGCGCAATTCGGAAAGCAAAAATTTATAGTGTTAACATACAAAAGCAGCCATGGAATAAAATGGAACTCAGGGTAAGCAGTCGAGAGCATTTTATTGCGGATTATTGGTTAATTGTGGCCAGAATTTACTTTATATCATGTCCAACCATTCGTCTACCCCAGCATTTCTCAACCTCAGCAACTTTAAGATAGGTGGACTTCAACTCCCAGAATTCCCTGTGTTCTGTTCAGAAGCAGCTTTCAGGTAATAGTTTCCAGACAAGGGTTTTCCCCAGTCCTGTCTAGAGAGGCCATGATTTGAGCCTGGCAGCTGCCTGTACACAAAGAGCTCTTGAAAGCAGCCCTGTCTTTGATGAAGGAGTTCGATAAGATGTGAACATATCTGCCTGAATGTCTTCTGCAATGCATCTTAGCCAATAAATAATTAAATACATAAATTATAAATATAAATAATAAATCCGGAGTCCAGTTATGTATAACATTTCATAAGGAAAATAGGCCACTGTGTGTGTCAGGTCCAAAAGACAATTCTTCCAAACCAGAATTTGTATTGTTTCACACAATAAAAGAACCAGCAAGATTCTGTCTATAGGTGTGAAACAATGAAGTACTCTGCTTATAACAGTAAGCTGTGATGGGGTGTGGGGTGAAGAGATAAGGGATTTCCCTTGTTTATTAAACCACCAGCAAAGGAACAGTGCAGTGGTTCAGTATAACCTTAATGTCAACTAAAACAATAATTAACTCCTTTGGTCTTTTTAGTTGCCATCAGAAAGGGGTGGGAGAAAGCAGTGCATTCCTCACATGCCTTAGATCAGTGATAGCTAACCTTTTCAGCTTGGTGTGTCGAAAATCGGGAAAAAGTGTAGCCTTCCTCGGGTCGTGTGTCACTTCAAGAAATATCAATAATTTGGTTTATGATGGACTGGGCTGGGGTGATCACACAGGGCTGTGAAACTCGTCTCCCTGGTCTCAAGGCTGCAGGTGCAGGATGTGGGGATCGGAAGGCCACCTTACAGGGCTGTGAACCTCATGGATCTCCTTTCCTCCTGTAGCGTTCCTGAGGTAATGAAACTGACAAACCTCAGTTTATGGCGGTTAAAACTGGTTCTCTGCTGCAAAGTTCTTGCGGCAGCGGTGACACCACGCCTCCACGCAACAAGCAGGGAGCAGGGATTGGAGCAGAGCACAGGCAGCCTCTAAATGTGCAGGTTTTCCCCACACCAACAGGCGTGTCAGTCAAAGTGCCTCGGTGTGTCACGAGTGACATGCGTGTCATAGGTTAGCCATCACTGCCTTAGATAATCACCTTAGCAGCCCAAAGTAGTCGTCACGCAAGAATATTATTGGAGAGCATGATGACTCTTGGCTATGGATGTGTCCCATTGGAGAATACACATCCAGGAGGTAGGGGGAAGACCAGGGTCAAGGGGGAAATGAATGATGTATTTTAGTGTTGGCTAACGCCAACATGGCCATTCCTAATAAAACATTTTTTTTTACTCCTTGAGATGTGGCTAAAGACTTATGATTTGAATGGGGGTGGATTTGTTGGAGTCCTGACAGCCAGCTGACAATCAAATACATCACTCATTTCCCCCTTGACCCTGGTCTTCCCCCCACCCCCTGATTTGACTCTGATTCCAAGGATGCAGGGATGGCATCCATGTTTAATTCTTGGTACTGTTAGAATCGGAGTAAGAAGACATTGCTATCTTAGATATTAATTTAACAAAGGTGCAGTCCCTTTAAATGCTCTTCGCTTTAAAATTCAAAACAGGAAGCAACCCTAAACTGTTGACCTCTTCTGCTCTTTGACAAACAGGAACAAGAATTCGTGAAGATTGTGGGAATTAAGTATGAAGTTGGACCACCTACGCTGTGCTGCTTGAAGCTTGCCTTTCTTGACCCCATCTCGGGCAAAATGACAGGGGAATCGTTTTCCATAAAGTAAGTGGCTCACTAAGGCTCTAGTTAAAACTTCATGGTGATGCTTTTAAGCTGTTGACTTCCCTCCCCTCCCATTCTTCCTCCAATAATTTTTTTTTGGCCAAGGATTCCCAAAAAGTTGCAGGTGGAAGAGTATCTCAATCGTTCTGTCGTGTTGACATCCTTGCGAAATTCTCTCCCAAACCTAATATTTCCTTACAGTTTTTATTTTTGGTCCTGCAGCTTGCAAACGTTCTTCCTTTTCCACATTTGGAACAATAATTGAAGGCCTAAAATGATGCTTAAATGAATTCAAAAGTATCATGTTTAGAAAGGCTATGAAGACCCAGAATTTTAGGATGGGAGGGTGAGACCCCCTCACTTCACTGCACTTGCTAAATCTTTTACCAATTCTATTGTAATATCTCCGGATTGTTATGGACCACCCAGAGTCATTGGTCACTATACACATTTAAATATTTTTTAATCATTTAACAACCGCAATTGGGACTGGCAACTAAATCATTAAGCTAAGCAGTTGCTAAGTGATCTTTCTCCATAAGCACTTACCTCCTTGCTCTTCCTTCCTTTGCTTTACAGACCTGTAAAGGTCATAAATGCAAGGATTAGCGCAAGTTACTTTTTTCATCACCATGGTAATTGTGAACGGTTGCTAAAGGAGGCTAAGCGATGGCTATACTTTTGTGGTTCTTTTTGTGATAGTGCACTCAAATCAGTTTTTAGTTCCTGGCAATTGCATGGACTTCCAGTTTTCTTCCAGTCTTCCTGGCCCAATGTCACCCAACTGGTTTTGTACTGGTTTTGCAAGACTAGATCTCCCAGTTTTTACATTGTTGTCTGAATCGGTACACCAAACTGGCTGTCTCAGCCACCGTATTTTAATTAAATCATGTATTTTAGGAGACTCTACGTGAGCCTTTCATTCGTCCCAAAAGCGTGTAATGGAGGTCTCATATTTTTCTTCTACTCACCAACTATGCACAGCAACTTTAGACCATACCTAAGGTGGAACTAGAACTCACGGTCCCCTAATTTCTCGCCTACAGCCTTAAGCATTCCACCAAATCGGCTGCTATTATTATTATTATTATTATTATTATTATTATTATTGTTATTATTGTTGTTGTTATTATTACTATTATCGCTACCACCTCCACCTTCTCCCTGGCTGAGTCCTTTTGTTTTTGTTTCCCAGGTATCATGACATGCCTGATGTTATTGACTTCCTTGTGTTGCATCAATTTTACAATGAAGCCAAAGAAAGAAACTGGCAGATCGGTATGTTTACCTGTTTACCATGAAACCTTCAAGCTTTTGCCAATTTAATATTATTCTGCAACATCGGAATAGAATGGAATGGAATGGAATGGAATGGAATTAGGAAAGAATAGAATAGAATAGAATAGAATAGAATAGAATAGAATAG